TGCTTGGGAAATTACTGTACTTATCAATCACAGCTTTGTGTCAACAAATATTACTCCCAAGCATTATGTCAAATGTTACAGACCACAAAAATGAAATATGGAAAACTGTTAAGCTTACCTCGTCTTACTATCTGTATTCTCTGTCACAATCCTCCGCCTTGGATAGCATTAGCACGGTAAAACACTCCAACTTTTAAATCATACTTGCGCATCACGAGGTTTATGTCTCACATTATGCTCAACTGTGTCAGAACGTGGGAAGCGATCGATTGCTGAAGGCCGATCTGTCGCTAAATATACATAACAACCCTTAGATGTCTTGTGGCGTCATCAGAAAGCAAAAATATACCGATTCCACGCTCCTAGAACCTACAGAATCTGGCAAAATTGAAGCCGTTGCAATCACTTTCAAAATGGACGCCAAAAAGAATGACCGCAATGAGCATGAGCAAAAGAAACGTCCGCTGACCAGCACTTCGCTCTGTTCTAGGCTCCATTCTCTATTGTTTTCTCCGTCTATGAAGAGCATTTTATTTTTACGCCGGTACTGATTGACATCAATCTGGCAAATATCGAAAGCTGTTAGTAAGCTCTACGATTTTTATCTCTTAGAATCGAAAGCGGTGCAGCTTGCATTTTCCTGCGACGCCCAATATTTATGTTCAAAGATCTAACCAACGTTATGTTTGGCATTGGGTCAACAAAAACCTCTGAAAGTACATTCCGAACCTTAAGGGTTTGTTGTGCCGCATGACTCTTCCTACAGTTCCTAGCGCCGTTGTTCCACAAAAAAAGTAAATGGAGCCGCCAAACCAAAATGCGAGCCAGATTGCCAGAATACATATTAATATTACTATTTTGGGGGGAATGCCCGCGAATCGACGCGAACGGCGCGCCCCGCAGAAGTAAACAATATAACAAGCGCGATTGATAGACTCTTGCAAACTTTACAACTTCCCGCTGGCACTTCTGACAGATAATCCCGTTGAGTCATGTGCACAGCCGACAGAACACAGGGGCGGATCTAGGGGGAGCGTGCAGGGGGTGCGCCCCCGAGATGACCTGCGGTTTTCTAATACAACTGGTATTCTGCAAAAAAAAACTATGTGGTTTATTGGTGTCGAAGTAGAGCAAGAGACGAGTGCACCCCCTCCTAAAAAAAATTCTGGATCCGCCCCTGGAACAGATGACAATGTTTGCGAAAAATCCTTGTTATTATACCCAAAAACGTTGATTTTAGATCGGCCACTTATTTTTACATAAATTCTGCAAATCATGCAGCAGTCGTTTGGAACAATTTTGGTTTCTTTATAAAGTGGTGTTCTTATTCCTGGACTCTTGTCGCCCATCGTTAACACATGCTTTAGCTTGGCCCCGATTAACAAATCACTCTTTACCACCCAAGTGGAGATGGTTTGTTCACAACATAATTTCCCCAGGTCTACCCCCACTTAGAAAAATAGCGGCTGATAAGCACGTGTCTGCTAAATTGCCATTGGTCACTCTTTTCATTAGCAATTTGACGCGTTTGACAGCTGTCGTCTGCATGAAAGTGAAATTCGAGGCCAAGGTAACCAGAGGTTTTTCTCTCTCCTCATCGCTTTTGCAACTCGTTGTCGCCGCTTCGCGGCTTGCTCTTGATCTCTTTAGCGAAGAAAAATCAAGAAAAACCTCTGGGACCAGGGTAGCTGTATGTAGTCTAACTGATGAACATCCGCGAGATGGTTAGCTAATCTGACAAGGTACTTCGCCCCGCACGATGAAATCGGACAGTTTCTTCAAACTCTCTTGTTAACCATGTTCAAAAAACTGTTGACAGGTCGATGGCTGCACACAAATGACTTCTAATACGCAAATAGTCAGCTTATATAGAGTATCAGAAAGGCCAAACACAGGCCCGAAAGGCCATAACCAGGCCTGAAAAGCCAAGAGGGACAAAAGGAGACAAACGGGCCATTTTCAGACATGTGTCTTTTTTTTTTTCTCGCACACACGCGTGGGTGTCGCGCGTCGCTAGTTACCCAACAGCTTTCAATATTGGAATCATCATCTTTATTAAGTGTAATCACAAATAATTGTTATTTATTGCACAAGTTACTATTATTGTAATTATGATCAAGTCATCAATAAAACACACTTAAAGTTTGGTTGTTTACAGTTTTTATTGAAATGCAACAATACAAAGGTCCAGTAAATAAAAAATTCTGTAACATTCATAGGAAGTTTAGTCTTGAACTTCGTTTGGCCCTTTTCACCTTCGTTTGGCCTTTGGCAGCTGCAGGTCCTCCCTCTTTTCTAATACCACGTTGTTACTCTTTAGATCGTTGTGGGCATACCCACAATTATGAATATGTTCCAAAGCTTCCGAAGTTTCCAAAAATATGCCGTTCCATTTCTTTGCTTCTGCCACTTTCTTGTCTTTTGCCGCTTTGTAGATTGTCACACTTTCTTCGCCATCGTTGTGAAACTTCATGACAATATAAAATATCAGGCAAATTTATATTGTGTGATTATGTCCTTAATTCTTATGACTACTCTGTTTTACAAAACATTGACATTACAAGGAGATATTTGATGCTGATCACTCTTAGGGATAAAAGGGTTACCGTAACGACTTTTTGGCTTACACAAAACACACTAGTCTGACTTGTTCTGGTGATTATGTAACTTCTATGAATGGCTTATTAAGACTTCCATTTTATTCCTGGTATATCATTTAAAATTGTTAAGCTCGTACATGATTTGCAATGGGTCACCATGTGGTTCATGTATTTAGAAAATTAATATTACAAGATACAAATTTTTATTATTTACATTTATAGTTGTACGATTTTAATATAATTATGTATGGTGATTTACTCTAATAAATTTATTGTTACATTTTAGGCATATGAAATAATTACTATGAAAGGTATCTATAATTATTAAGAGATATTGCTATTTATGGAGATGAAGCTATAGTTAGAAATATTCTGGACGACAAATTTTTACATGAAGTGCGCAAATAGGGTACTGTCTGATGCAGTTACCATATTAATTTAACCAAAAATAATTATAATTAATATTAATTTATTATGACAAATCCAGTTTAGTACATTAGAATTTTTATAGAAGGTTGTTACCAAACATGGAAAGAGAATTAACACAGTATGGGATTCATAGGGCTATTTCTAGCAGTTTCACTCACCATTCTGAGTTAATTTTTTTTCCATCATTAGAATTTTTAACCTCAGTTTTTTAAGATAAGGTCTAAATTTTGTTATCTTTCCTTTTTTAATAATTATTGTTAAAACATGAAATATTTAATTGCATTTTCAAGATTAAACTCGCTGCTGGAGTTACTTTTACATGCAGTTTATACAAAAAGTGACTTGAGCTGTATTTGAAAAGCACTATTACGTGTACAGTAAGTGTAGAACAAGCAATAAAACCTTGTTCAAAAGGCTTATTTATGACTTCATTTTTGGTGTGTTTGTTTTATACAATTTGCTACATATCAGAAGGACAATGTTTTATCAAATGAAGATTTGACTAGGCATTTTATTACCATATATATAGTTTCGTACTACACGATGGTACAGCACTCTTCAGATAAAGACTATTTTTTTTTCAAGAGTGCTACACCATCGTGTAGTACGAAACTATATACATAGTAAGAAAATGCCTAGTCAAATCTTCAGTTGATAAAACATTGTACTTCTGGTATTCTCGCTCTAGTCCTATTGAGAACCCTGACATCAGTTCTGCATCAGCTGCAACTAAATCAAGTGCCTTTTATTTTATCTTAAAGATGTTTAAGGGAGAAGTTGTCGTTTAAATGATCCCTTAAACTCAAAGAAAATGTTCGTAAAGCTTTAAAATAAAGTTTCTTTGACTACCTTTAATTTCATCTGAAAGATTAGTAAAGGATAGTTTACTGTATATTTACTTAATATTTACTTGTTCTAATACTCTTTATAATGGTAATTGAACTGAGTGGAGTGCAATTTGGTCTGAAATCATACGCGTGATTTCGAAATCGAACGAGCGCGCAGCGCGAGTTCGATTTGAAATCACAAGTATGATTTCAGACCAAAATTGCACGACACGAAGTTCAATTACCACTTTATTACATCCATTTTGAAATCACTCATTTTTTTTAAATCTGTATTTATTGGTCCAAAAGGCTGGTTCGTAAAAAGCGGAACCGGAAACGCGTTTACATGTACGTGCCATGTCAACAAAACAAAATGACAGATGTCACTTTACAAAAAACCGATTGGAGCGCAAAAACTTCATTCGTGCAAATGTTCAAGCAGTTCTAAAATCTTGTCACTGCAAAAATAGTCTTCTTCAAAGTTTAATCCTCGTCGTCTGACTCAATAATATAAGCCCTTCGCTTCTTCTGCAGTTGTGGCTGAGGCATCGCGTTTTCTTGGGAGAAAAAATTGAAAGTACAGCCGGTGTAATTCTGCGATGAAGCAGCAGTATTACCAGCACACGTCAACGCTGCCATGCGGTACTAAAACTGTGAGGGACAACTTGGCGAAAATCCTGCAAAACCAGCAGCCTGAAAATCAGGATTCAGGAATTCCATGGCCTGGTGCATTTGACCTTGCTGTTGGGAGCGATTAATAGGAACCAGTGGTGCTCGTTGGTGTAGGACTGGATGTTGGACTGTGTTTTGAATTGTTGGTGCCTTTGCAGCTGTACTGTTTTGATTGGAAACGTCATTGGGACCGTTTTCATTTGGCACTACTTTAAATCCGCTAATTATGTGAGACAGTTCTTTCCGTTGATTCTCGTCTATTTCGTCGTAGTCGTCCAACGAAGATTCACGTGCATTGCCTGTTATTTCACAAATAACGTTGCGCGGCTGACCAGACTTTTTCAATTTGGACACCAACGTTTTTCTCATGCTGTGGTTGGTCAGTTTTTTGTTCGTCTTAAGACAGGAGGCCATGGATTTCATGATGTTGCCGATGGTATTTTCGCCCATTCTAATTTTGGTGTACCAGATATCATTTGATTTGGGACGATTTATAACGCTCAGGTACAGTGGCCCCCGGCAGTGGCCCTTTATCTTTCATTCCGTCGGGTCGCTTGGATAACCAAAGCTTGAAAAGGCGCACTGGATCAGTTTTTCCGCCATCGGTGGAATACATAGCTTGTGGTGTTGTTCTTCGCGATATTGTTAGACCACCGCTTCGTGTTTTAGTGGGACCTTCACGGAATTCTACAACTTCGCTGCCGTCTTCTTGTTGTCTTATAACGAAGTCCTCTACGTAGGCGTCATAGTGCTCCTGGCGACCTCTAAATCCAAGTTGCTCAGTCAAGTTTTTGAAGTTAACATTGGTCAAGACTTTTCCGTTAAAATCACCAAGCTGACCTTTTAGCCAGAGAGAAGACTCTTCCTCCGAAGTGAGAGGCTGAGATTTGTTTGGTCTTTTCCCCTTTCCTTGTTGTCGCAGAGAAATTGCCTTCGCGTGGAGGATTTCTTGTGAGTTGTGAAACTCCCTCGATCGTACGATGCTCAGTGGATAATTCTTCTCCTTTAAATACCTTTCAATGGCACTCTGCATGATTTTAAGGCATTCCGGCTCGTAATCATCTCCGTCCCTTTTTTTAACTTCGGCATAGAACTTGCTCAGGATGTTGTCAAGCTCTTCCGGCGCCATTGTTTCTATGTTTACATTTTCTAGATGACGAGATTGACACCAACTTTTGAATACATTCATCCACTGTTTTGTCGAGCGGGAGGTATTTTTGTTGACGGCAACAGCCTTGAGCTCTTCAATTTCTTCGCTTGAGATTTCGGTGTACGAACTGTCAAGATCGCAAAGAGATGAAGCCTCTTTTAAAGCAAAAGCTAAAAGAACAACTACAAAGAACAAGACAAACCGTAAGAAACAATGAAAGTCGAAGTCTTGGCTTAGAGGCTATAGGAAAATTGTGTAGACACGGAAGGATTATCTATTATCCCTCGTAATAGAACGGAGAAAACAGATTTGTAATAGTCAGTCAAAGGATTAATTTTCATTCCTTTTCCTTTCAAATCGCTGTGTATTTGACTCTTTTTGTTACTGGTTTTTAATAAAGTTTTTAAAACGGTACCTCGTGTCTGATCTTATTGCTAGCAATTGTAAGTAACGTGTTTCAATTGATCCTTGTTAGGTTACTTTATGTTTCTATTGTTTTTATGATAATAAGTCACTTGAAGGTTTTCTGTTGGGGTTTTTCCTGCAGAGCTGAACTAATTTGTATGCAACGGTGGGCTTGCGAACTCGCATAATTAACTGACTAACGATGTCCAAGCATGGTCGATGGTGGACAACAACCCATCGCTCTAATCACTTCGCAATGTTCGAGTCTTAAATGATTTTACTGCCTACATCATCGCCTTACATAACTACTCTCAGATTTGATATATTTAAGTGGGATAAATAACAGCTTATAATTGTCCCCATTCTTCCCGTGTCAGTTCCAGATCCTCTGCAAATTTCAAAAACACCAAAAGTCTGCCCAAATTAACTCTTAGAAATACTTCAGAATGGAGTTCTTTCAGCTTGGAAATTGTTGAACCTGGGAGGTCGCAAAATGTTTTCTTGAGAGACGTTATTTCTTTTGAGGGGGAACTATGGCCCTCGCGATCATGCGATAATGATTAAGCTTTATTCTTATGACAGACTGAATAGTACCCATTTTCGTTTTGCCGATGATAATAATAATTAATAACAATAACTTTTATTTATATGGTCTTAAAAAAGATAAAAATAAATATAATGATGTCACAGACTATACAAAATAGCTGGTGATGTAAAAAAACCCTTTCTAATTTAAGCTGATGATGTCATCTCACCAGTTACCACATTAAATAATTATTTGGTGATGATCTCATCGTTTTTTTTGATGACGTCAACTCCCTAGATTGTTATACAGAATACCGTTCTATTTTTAGATGATGATTTCATCATTTTAATCCCCTGAGCTATTGTGACGTCACTCCACCACCTCCACCACTGCTTAGAACCCCTCGTCTCCCTCTACTCATTGAGAATTCACCGATGGATTTGTCCAGACATCGACAAATACTTTCAAACGTTAGTAGAGGTGAGAAATTTTGCGAAGTCTAAATCATTGTCGAAGGTTCAAGGCCGAGAAAGATACACGTTACTACTTACATCGATTTTCCAAATATATAAAATGATTATTTGCTCGCCAGTGTATTTGATTCATTTCTCTTGTTATTTTGGTAAACGAAGGCGATTCCTCCCGCCCGGCGCCTACGCGTGTTCATGTTCCTTTGGATACTGTTTTTAACCAAATATGATAAAATATTGTAATTGATGTCCTTATCCCCCATGGAATGCCATGGAAATTTTTTTCCACGGAAATCGATGGAATTCCATGGAGGTATTTCTTACGGTATGATACCAAGTTATTTAAAGGGGCTATGTCACGCTATTTTCTACCTTTTTAAAAAGCTAAAGCAGGTTTTCGAAGCGATTGAATTCCAAGAAAAAGGCTATATTTAGGCATTAAAACCGTTTCCTGTCGTCTGTTAATATGGATGGCAAGGATGATTGAAACTTGAAAAAATGGCCAGCCTTTTCAATGCGAAAATTTCCAAAAAAATACTTATGGCTAGTGCTGTCTGATAAATTTTGTTTGGGACCTTCTCCATAACTCTAAAGGAGCATTTTGTATAAGTGTATAGGCACTAAGTAATGACTTCAGCAAGTAATATTCCTAAACACAGCAATATCCTCGAGACAAAGTCCTCTTTAACACCAGGATAAATTGACTACTATATGATTAAAACGCCCGATCACTGTTGCGGAAAGTCAAATCTCTTTCTTTTTTCCACGAGCTTGAGGTGGCGAGTGTTTCACCTTTTCCAAAACAAAACGTGTTATTATTCTCTTGTCTTAAATCGTCAGCGTGTCCAAATATGGCAATCCTGACAGGGACTTCGGGCATCATCACAAGTCCTTCTTACCCGGGAAATTATGGTAATAACCACAATTGCAGCTGGAAAATCATGGCAAGTACAGGAAATCAAGTCAAGTTGGTCATTCAAGACATGGACATAGAAACTGGGATTAACTGTCCCTTCGACTATATACAAATTCAAAATGCTGTCATATATGGTAGTGTTGTGCTTCCTGGGCGTTTATGTGGTTCACTTACCAGCAATTCGACTTTTTCTTCTTACGACGAGACCTTGATTGTACGTTTTGTTACTGATGGTTCTGTAACAGCCCGTGGATTTATAGCAAGATACACTGTTATTCCTGGTAAGTAGGAAGAATTATGTTTTGCTGTGCTTTGCACTTTATCCAGTATAGTATGTTGCGCGGTATCTCGGCACAATCGCTTGTAAACACTAGAAATTCTTGTCTGACCATAGACGATTTCTGAATTTTGTCCTCAAAGATAGTACTTTACATTTCTCTTGAAAGGTTTCCACTTTGCTCAACTACGCATATTTAAAATCAGGGGCATAGCCAGCCATTTTTTCCTTTTAAGCCCGATTTGAAGAGGTCCTGAGAAAGCGAGGGAGAGATTCATTCATTCATTCAGTCCTTCGTTCATTCTTTCGTTTGTGCCTCCCTGCCTCCCTCCCTCCATCCATCCATCCATCTATCCATGCACCCATCCATTCATTCAGAGAGTTGTAAAACTTTGGAACTTGAATGTAAACCATGCTGGTGTTGGTTCTGCATGGCGATAAAAAAATATATATATTGAACACTCCTAGTATTATGTATTTGGTTGTTCATTGAAAAAACCTTATTGAATTTTGAAAAGAGTGAAAACATAAAAAGACCTAATTAAAACAAGTGGATTTCTTGACATTTCAAGAGCTTTTGCTCCTTGAAGATCGGGTCAGTATGGGCTTCGTACCTAGATTTTCTTACTTATTGCCTATGATGCGTTGAGGACTTAGTAGAAAGCCTAGTTATCGCCTAAGTCATAAACAGTTTTCAGAGGGAACATGAAGAACAGTGTGTCACC